ATCTATGACAGTGTAATAAATAATTAAGCGGGATTAACTATTGTACCAGTAGTGATAAATCGGGAAAGACGAATATCGATTCATTCATATTTTTTTTTAGAAAACTGGCAATATTATTTCCAGCGGAGTCTGTCAAATTGATATTTTATTCACTGACGTTTCTATCTAATTTCGTTCAGATTATTTGGTAAATATCTCAGTTATAATTTTAATTTTTTAAGCATGTAACTGCTTGATGTTTAAATCTAAAGAATTAAATCAGTGCATTCGCCCGTCTGCTAGCTGGTCCGCGTGGAATTTTTTCTAGTTATATTTTCTTTAGATTTAAACATCAAGCAGTTACATGCTAAAAAAAATAAAATTATAACAATAATTGCTATTTCTTCTTTCAAATGATTAATACTTGTAAAAGTATTCATTTGACATTGTGGGTTACCTACAATGCGAAGAGATGGCGCTGCCTTGCAGCTTAAGAATGGCTAGAAGAATTTCGACGCGGCCAATATGGCCGCCTGATTTCGTCGTTGGGGTCCTCTAAGGCGTGCCTAGGCCGACGGAATCGAAAGGTCCATATTGTTGTCATTCTATCGTCTTTTTATGTCACGGATCTCTAGATCGCAATCGGAATGAGTTACCAAACCGAAATTAAGGTATTTTATGTAAAATGCTTGCCCTAAGTCGAATACTTAGTTAAAAATTTAATTAAATTATTTATCATCTTATACATGATGAGATGACGATTTTTTTTAGCCCAGCATACGTCCTTGTCTAGCTCGTTGAGAAAGATATAAATATATTGTTTCTCTCAATAACAACGAAATTTGGGGTCGCTAAAGTTGTCATGTTTGTCATGGGGTCTATCTCAAAATCTAAAATAGTGAACTTATGTAATTATGGTATGACATGTTATAAGGTGTATTTAAACAATAAATACTGAAAACGCCGGTTAATATTATACATTTAAGTTGAGGCGTAAACAAACAAATGATTTTACGGAACCCTAATAGAGCGAGGCGAGGGGGTATTTTCTATTTACTCTGCGATGTTATGGAGTTTAATATGATTAAGTCACATATTCCACAAATCAGCTTTAAAATCTAAAACTTATCTCACACAATAACTATCAAGGACAAAATAAATAAAAGACAATTGGGGAATATGTTTATCAATTTTATTAAGATACATATCTCCAATACACAATGTTAACGCTATCTATCCTTCGACGAGAGAAGCTGCAATCGGTCCATCATCATCGTCCATTCATACATTCATCCCTCACTCATTAGTTTTATACACATTCACTCTCCCTCTTGCTATTTGAATTCAAAAAAGACAACGTACGCACATAATTTCAATAAGATCTGTATTTTACTATGAATAATATTCTACAATCTGAATATCCGATTTTTATAGAGAAATCTACATATAGAAGACACTAAGCTATCGAACACACATTAAATAAGGTTAGTTAATCCGCATTTCTTAGTCTATTTTTTCCAAACCTGAATAAGCTTTTTAAGCCATAATCAAGAACTTTGGTACAAGTGTCCCATAGAAAATATTCTTGACTTTGTGAGTAAATGGCACGTGGAAATTCTTTATGTGCCCTAAAACAAAATACAATCTACAAGGCTGCTAGCCGACCGCGGCTTTAGCGCTCCGGGTTCACCCACCGTCAATTGTTTTCAACGGCCGAACCTAAAACCGTCTGTGTTACATACGACAAAGGTCTAATTTCCCTTGCCCTTTTTTTGGGGCAATAAGGCGTTTTGGTTGTAAGCGGGCAGTCTAGTGGACTTCGGCTATTAGGCTTTTTCTTATTAGGTAAGCTGCCTAAATAAACAGGGCGCTTGTCGCTGCGTAGCAAAACAATTGTCCTTTATGAAAACTGCCGCAATAGGACCTTATGGCCGGGTCCCGACTAATAAGGGACAAAGCGCATTCATCACAGATGGACGAGTGTGCGGCCTTGTGTTTATACGGTATGGTTGCTACGTTATTAATACGTTTGGCGAATGTCAAGGGAGTTCTGCTGGATGGAGATTGGACAATAAACTTCCAATAAGAGATGTAGGCCATAGGGGTTTTTGGTTTGAATTGGAGCGCTAGTTTGGGGGAAAACGTCCGACTTACAAAAGGCCACAGTACTGTACAGGGTAGAGAGTTGGGTTGAAAGATAAAGTTGCAAAAAAAAACTGTTGTTTTTTCTATGAGTTTTTTTGTGGAGCATGTATTTTTTAAAAGTACCTACTGAATTTAGAATTATTAAGAAAGTGTCCGTTAAATGATAATTTTAATAATTTTGGTATTTTAAGCGTAATGCTTATGAGCTAAAAGGTAACAGACAGAGTGACTTTTGAAAATTCGTTTGTAAACTATTGATTGTTCATCGATTAATTCTTAATTTATCAAGATATATATCTTACACAGTCGACAGATTGCAAATGATGATTAGCATTTATTAGTTGCTGTAATTATACATAGTATTATCATCAAAATTCAATTCAAAATTCAAAAAAAATCAAAATTCAATATCGTTTATTCAGTCTAGGCTGTTACAAGCACTTGTGAGTGTCGAAAAGCTACGCCATCGGTTCGCAAATCTACGGCGGGAGACCTTGTACTGAGAAGAACCGGCATGAAACTCAGCAAGGGCTGTTTTTTTCTCCCTGTATTATATACAGAGTCGTCAATTTGAAAAATGACTTCAATATGAGATAACTCATGAAGTCACTTTCCATTACAAATGTAAATGATAAAACAATTATGACTATAAAATAAAAAACATAAAAAACAGATTTAAAAATAAAAAAAGTTTAGGAATGCCGTGTCATACTGTTTAGGCATAAAAACAAATGTACCATTAAAGTTAAAAACAACGATTAATAGTACCCAATGTAGCAAGAGCAGACTCATCTCCGCTGGCAGCACCCGTTCACGAGCATGACGCATGAAACAGCCATCGCTCCGCTCAACCATTTTTTAGGGAACGTAACTACCCGCCTCACACGACACCGCCGAAGAGACTTTTAAGAGAGCATGACTACTCATAGCCAGACTATACTAGATAGCAAAATAGGGAAAAAAAAATTAAGTACCAGTGTACATTACTATAAAAAACTATAAACACAACTGTAGGACACATGCATGTGATTACCTAAACACTAGTGTCGACTCTGCCACTACTCTCGAAACCCAAAACCAAACCCAACATCAGTGCCCCCCCTTCACTCTGTATAGAGAATGACAAGGATACACCGCTGCAAAACCAAAGTTCAGGTCTGGAGAACCATGCCAGAATCCACCCGACATCGATCCATCCCCCCCCCCCCCACGACAACGGCTAACTAGAGCCGAAGTCCTCAGAGACGCCCTCTAGTTGAGCCGACCCTCTCAGGTTCGAGGAAATATACATGGTATTTAGATATACAATGCCATGTATATTTAATCAGATTGTAATAATTTCGTTACTGGCGAACCTTATAAATAAATGGAGAAAAAACCATTAATTTGATTCTTATATTCTTAGTAGTTTAAAGCCTATTCGTTGAAACCATCGTATAAAAAATTGACATTTAGCAAAGATCAAAGCTTTAATTCTTTGAATAGCCTTCCTTTAAACCGGCTTTTGAAGAAAAATGCCTTAGAAATATGCCCGAGAAGTATAATAAAGCCGGATTCCATTACACTTTTTTTCCATTGTACTTGATTTTTCTAAGAAACTTTGGGATTAAATTAATACAAGAAATTATTTTACTATCATTATTGTTGCTATGCATATTTGATATTTTTTTTAAAACAATTATGTAGAGTCTGTGCGGAAAGAGAATGGGATTTAGATCGGAGGGCGCTGTAGTGCTTTTCTACCGTATTTGTAAGGTTTTACCCCTTTTAGACATGATTAAATACAAAAAACCGCAAGAAATCACAACAACAAACAAATCCGTATCAATACAAAACTTTGACGTTTTACAGATTGCTGGGTTTGATTGCCAAATAAAAATCTTAATGGTAGTTCCGTTTTACGCCACACCCATTCTCTTTCCGCACAGACTCTATGAATGATATGAAACATTATATTACGTAGCTACGTTGTTTATTTTTTTTTTTATTACTATATAAATACGTTAAGGAAAATCTAAGCTAGAAAATATTACTAGAAAAAATCCACGTAGACCAGGCAGATAGAAATTTAAACATCTAGCAGTAAAATGCTTACAAAAAGAATTATAATATAAATATATAACTTTTAGCTTCTTCCTCTACCAGATAGATTATCAAAAAAAAAAAGATACGTATTTTTTACGGGCAATATCTTTTCCATACAAACATTTTCGACTGATTGCTCCTTGATTTTTATCACTAAAGAATTGATTTTCATAATAAAAATATGCTTTTACTCTATGCTCCTATGTCTTCCATTTTTGTTTCAAAGAAACTAGAAGCCATCAAAAATGCCTAAAATAAATACATATTTATCACTACTGAAGAACTAGTGAATTTAAGAAGCATTTCCAAAAATGTAAAACGTACGGACATAGTACAACTACTTATTATTCCATGGGTAAAATCTCTTTTACACATATCTAAATGTTGAGGAAGAAATTTCCGAGAACCCAACCTCGAACTTTGCAATTTTTATAAGCCATTTTCAGCGTTAACTGCTGTTGATGACAGATGGGGATCATCATCATCACCCTATTAATGTCCCCACGGCTGGGGCACAGGCCTTCCCTATGGATGGAATAGGGAGATTGGGCCGTGACCCACCACGCGGGCCCAGTGTGGATTGTTGGGTGATAACGACTGCAAATGCAGCCATGTCTAACGGTTTAACGTGCCTTCCGAAGCATGGAGGAGCTCGAGACAGTAAATTTTTGGTCACCCATCCAATGACCGACCACTGCGAAAGTTGCTTAACTTCCAACGATCGCAGCCGAACGCGCTAACCACTTGCGCCATCGAGCTCCTCCAGATAGAAAGAAAGAAAGACCTCTTACCTCTCGGTCCCGAGCTGACTTGGCATTGATACACAGCATCGTCTTCAAGGGTGACCTCTCTGATGTCCAACGAGTAATCTCCTGTAACAAAAGATATAATTAATCGATGCCACCAAAGACATTTTCTTGTAAATTGTTGCCAAGACCAGTAGTTACAAGATTGGCTCTACGTGAGATCCCCCTAGCACGAACTACTATGGAATTCGAATAGTTTGCAAACCGAAATGTCAATGTAAAATTTTGTATGGAAACTTGAACAGCAGCAGCACAAAGTACGTAACGAGAACTAAAAATCAGTACACATTTGACAATGACATTTCGGACTCGCAAACGATACGAATTCGATATTGGTTCGTGCTAACCCCTAGCACGAACCAATATCGAATTTGTATCGTCTTTCGTTTGACATTGACATTTCGGTTTGCAAACTATTCGAATTCGATAATAGTTCGTGCTAGAGGTACAGATCTCATGTAGAGCCAATCTTGTAACTTGACATGCCCTAACTGTACAAGGCCTAACTTCACAAACTCCACGACTTGGTCAAAATATGTGGCTTGGCCATTTCTCTACATTTAAATAGGTACGCGGTCAAAAATTTATTCATTCTTCATTAGTAATTTTTCTAAGCATTTATCTGGCCTGCAAAACTAAGAAACACATTTTAATGATTTCATTTTTTTCTGTGGAAGTTAAATATTTAATATTAAAAGCGTTTTATAGCAAATTTTATCAGTTAAAACTCTTTCGTCGTTTCTAAATTAAACTATTTTCGAGTCCTTTTTATTTAGAAAGTATATCTCGTGTACTATAAATTATTGCAATTTTATAAATGTGATACTTAGTTTGAGGAGCTCGATAGCGCATGTGGTTAGCGCGTTCGGCTGCGATCGTTGAAGTTAAGCAACTTTCGCAGTAGTCGGTTATTGGACAGGTGACCAAAAATTTACTATCTCGAGCTCCTCCGTGCTTCGGAAGGCACGTTAAGCCGTTGGTCCCGGCTGCATCTGCAGTCGTTAGCAGCCACCAATCCGCACGGGTACATGGCCTAATCTCCCTATTCCATCCATAGGGAAGGCCTGTGCCCCAGCAGTGGGGGCATTAATAGGCTGATGATGATGATGATACTTATTTTTGCAGGCCAGTGTATAACAAGTAATAGATCTTATAAACAAAATGCCTCACCTTCTTCGTCACTTCCAATCATCTTGTACCGTTCATAGCCCGTCAGATGTCGATGGGTGCCCAACCCAAAGTCGTCTTTAGTCCACTGAAGCTGTCCAACTTTGTTCTCGACTCTACATGGAAGGGTCACCCGGGACCCCACTACTGCACTCTGAAAAAAAAAACATGTATTTAGCACTTATTTACCACTGTATTAACAAAAATGAAAAAAAAAATGATTTTTTTAAACTACAATATATTATGTTTAATTAACTATTACAACATCAAGATAATACGAAAATGTTGTCCTGACTTTTTTTGTTTGAGTGTGTATGCTGTTGGTCGCAGATGACCTTTACAACGTCACCGGGTTTGGGGACGGCGAGATCCTAAGGGCCGAGAATTGGCGAGTGCCTCTAGAGGTATTCCAGGCGGATGGCGTCTCCCCACGGGGGGAGCCTCCTCTCCGTCTGGAGCCTCTAGACCACTCGAACCAGAGGGGGTGACTTAAAGTATAAAACGTATAGAATGTGCAGCCGTCGTCGGTAACGTAACTGGCATCGACATACCTGTTTATACCTGGCAACCCAGTAGTTCCCCCAGGCAAATAATAGACAACCCAACGGCTGCACATTTTATACGTTTTATACTGTAAGTCAGGACAACATTTTCTTATTAACTTGATGTTGCAACAATTAATTAAAAACGTATTTTTAAAAAGTAATTAAAAATAGTCTGTCCAGGATTTTTTAAGGCAACCCATTTATAATATATTTTCTAACTAGCGGCCGCCCGCGTCTTCGTACGCGTAGAGTACACGTTGTTACAGAATGCATTGAAGAAATAATAGTACAGTCAATGAAGGCAGAAATCTGATACAAACTCCGATTTCGTTGAACCTCCATCGATTTTCATGAAAACTTTGTGAGTAGGTGGGGCATACCTTAAGAAACAAATGTGACATAGTGCCAACTTGTGCTTTTGCCCTGGGGGTAGATGCCACCCCTTCTCGGGGGTTAAAATTATTTTAATAACAATAACTCCAGGAATCGATAGAGACAGAGAGACTCTCTTTTCCAACAAAATTCGAAAGTGTCATCTTATTTTTATCATAATTTGCTTAATTTTGATGCTATTAACCTTTTCCAGTGCTCATTAGAAAGGTATTTCTGAGGATTTTAAAAAGTGTTCGTGAGGTGAAAAGGTGTTAAAAGATTTAGGTTTGAATACTTAGATTTAAGTACTCACCGAAAAAAATATATAATCAATTACCTATAGCTTACTTTGAATTAACAATAGAAGGTTTATCAAAGTAGGGGTTTGTTTGTTTTTTTATTAGCTTCAATTTTGGTAAAAATATATTTTTTGTAAAAACTCATAGTTTTTGAGTTATTTAAGAAAAACCGCTTTAAAACATGTATTTTTATCACGTAAAATCACAATCTTTGATCTTTAATAACTAAGAAAGTATTGATTTATTCCAAAAACTTTAGAATTTGTCTTTCTATCGACTCCTGGAGATATTTTATTTTAAAATAATTTTCACCCCCGAGAAGGAGTGGCATCTACCCCCAGGGCAAAAGCGTGTTTCTTAAGGTATCTTTCATCTACTCACCAATTTTCATGAAAATCGATGGAGGTTCAACGAAATCGGAAGTGAAAACCTTCATTGACTGGACTATAAAGGTTCACTGCTCGTTCCCCGTAGGTGAGAGCGTGATAATATGTAGCCTATGTAATGACCCGACTTCTTAATAATATTCGTGCCAAATTTGAAGTAAATCCATGCAGTACTTTTTGAGTTTATCCCGGACATAGATACAGACTAACAGACAAAAATTCTAAAAACTATATTTTTGGCTTCGGTATCGATTGTAGATCACACCCCAAGCACCTATTCTTTTAAAAAAAAATTCAATGTACAGCTTTGACTTTCCTACCATTTTATTATATGTATAGATATACTAAAATCATGTTAAAATATGTTTCATTCTATTATCAGCTTGCTGAAGGTCGATGTAGGTTCGGATTTTAGACTATTACAACTATTGAACATATAAAAGACGAAATAGCGATTGTAGATTAATATCCAACCGGAAAGCGGAAGATGCCATTTCGAATCCCGTCTCAAACTTGTGAATGAGTGGATTTTTTGCTAGTATTCTTTCTTTTAGATATATATAGATATCAGTTAAATGATCAAAACAAATTAAAATTATGTATATTTAATGTTCTTGAATGGCGACTGCGCATCACTGACTACGAAGTTTACCGACAATCTAGTTAAAATCTGTCGCGTAAGTCAATGGGGGATCCTTGGGGGAGGTTTATGCTCAGCAGTGGGCGTCCTACGGCTGATATACTGATGATGAAGAATTTATACAAGTTTTACCAAAAGAAGATCTCTGGCCCCCTACGAGGTACACCGACGATCTAGTGAAGGTCGCGGGAAGCCGATGGATGGAAGTGGCACGGGTCCAATCGGTTTAAAGATCCTTGGAGGATCCTATGCTGAGCAGAAGGCGGCGCATGGCTGATATAATGATGATGAAGAAACATTTATACAAGGTGTAACAAAAGACAATCTCTGGCCCGCTACGAGGCAAACCGACGATCTAGTGAAGGTCGCGGGAAGCCGATGGATGGAAGTGGCACGGGTCCAATCGGTTTAGAGATCCTTGGAGGATCTTATGCTGAGCAGAAGGCGTCGCACGGCTGATATGATGATGATGAAGAAACATTTATACAAGGTGTAACAAAAGACAATCTCTGGCCCGCTACGAGGCAAACCGACGATCTAGTGAAGGTCGCGGGAAGCCGATGGATGGAAGTAGCACGAGTCCAATCGGTTTAGAGATCCTTGGAGGATCCTATGCTTAACAAGAGACGTCGTACGGCTGATATGATGATGATGAAGAATTATTTAAACATGGTGTTACAAAACTAAAGTACAAGTTGTCGACCATACTTCAAGAAAATGGTAGTCTAAACCTCACAAGTATAAGTATACATTTTGGAATTATGCATGTTTGTTAGAAATCTCGCACATATTTTTCCCTAACGAGAATGGTCAAGTAAATTAAAACTGCATCAAATATTAGCCCTTTTGCTATGGCCGTGGAAGTTTCATTAAATTCCTAAACATATTAAAACCGATAAAACGCGGTGAAACTTAAAAAGAAACGTCAGTCATTTTTGTCAAAGAACAGTGGTTTTTATTCGATACAAGAGTTCTTAAAATATATTTGTAGTTAATTTAAGCATTAATAAAAGCCTTAAGTTTTTGATTATGTTCTCACGTAATGTTATTTTATTATAAATTATTATTATGCTTATAAAGTGTTACTTGTAATTGTTATTAATTAATTTATCAGTTACAAATACGTTTGAGTTATTACTATGTAATTAAAATAAAGAAATTTTTATTTAATATTTGTTTATAAATTGCAATTCATGTCACGGTATCTTTTTTATGTTACATTTGCAATGACTACACGAGTGCAATAAATAAATATGAAATTGGAAATTTGAAACACACATCGTTAATTAATGTTAATAGTAAGTGTAGTCCAGGCGCTGAGATAGTTGAAATGGTATAAACCCGCTCCGACTTCCGTAATGAAGTGGTATGTTTTTTCACTCGGTTTCAAAGTGTCGGCTACAGAGAGGTCCCGGGTGGATTCGAATCAGAGACGTTTTTAAAAGTTTCGGCGATGTGGTAGTGAAATGCGCGTGAATTACCGTGTTTTTTTTTGAAATTTTGAAAAATTGTGGCTGTCTGGTGAGTAAGCCCTTGGCACGGAAGGGATTCAAAAGCGAAGAAGTGTTATTATTAAATTTAGTACAACATTATGACACCCATTTTTGTGTTATTTTTTTTTTATTGTGACATTGGATGTTTTAATGTTGGCAATACGCATATTGTTTCAGAATTTTTAATACAGCATGGGTGTAGATAAACTCTTTTACAGTACAAAAAGATACTTTTGTGGTGTTGCGCTGACTCGTACATCATCAAATTGATATTGTGTTACTGTTATATCAACACTATATAAGCTAAAATGGTCACGCCTGATGACACTTTATTTGCACCTTAGAGCATAATAGAGATATAATTTTGTCACTTTGCTAGTGAACTTTCTCTGACTTTTTATTTCACCACCGATAAGTTTTTACAAAATCTTCTGTAGACCTAAAGAAAAGTTTACTAGAAAAAAAAACGACGGGTTGCACTCCAGGAGTGCCGGCAAAAGTGAAAACTTGAATATGATCGTTGTGCATTTTTAATATTTTGGAATAGTTAGGGAATAACTTTGCACGATTTTATTTTATTATCAGTATAAAAATACTATCATTTATGTGGTAGAATACAATATTTATTTATTACGCTATCGTATACAAACATGACAATTTATATTACATTAAAAAGTTTATCTCTCAGAATTTCTCATTTAAGCGCACCTAGCTACATCTATTGTAAAAAAATGCATTTTCTTCGCAATAAAGCGGCCACCTGGACGTCCTAGATGCAGACTTATTATTATAATACGATAAAATAAAATATTACTATGTTTCGCCCAATGTATTGAAAGTCAACAACCTTTCCAATATTATTGTTTTTGTCTTACGATCAGGACACGTGGTATGTGATGCGATCAGCCCACGTGTCATGACGCGAGTTTAACAATTTTAAACAAACAAAAAAAAGTGTACAACGCCGCTAAAGAAGTTTTCACTTCAAAATTCCACGCGGCAGACGGCATTTGGCAGCAGACGGGACTCGAACCCGCACTCTTCGCTATCCGGGCGAATGCACTGACCATTATGCTACCGTATTATTTTTTTTTGAAACTTTTCTTTTGATTTAAAAATCTAGCAGTTAAATGCTTAAAAAATAAAAACATAATCTTCTACAGACTTTTATAGATATATATTTTGCTGGTTGGGCACTACGACCATAGTGTGATTATTTTTTACTAAGATTCCAATCATTTTCAAAAACACACATCAATAATGGCCTGCATACTTACTATTCTATTACAACCAATTTCTGTCTGAGAATTTTTAATATTGCTATTAAGCCTGCATTCCACCCCTCTTACTTAACAAAGGCTGATGTTTTGAATATTATTATTGCTTGAGCAAAGGTTCTCTTCTAGAAAATATTTATTAATATTGTTCGGATGCTTTTAAATTAATATCTCGGCACGTTTATATTTATGCCGCCAGCTATTTTAGGAAACTCTTAGCCCTTTTGCGAAATACCCGCTTGTTTGATTTCAACGCCCAGCTCATAAAAATATTGCGCTTTTCGCGTTAAGTTTAATCTTAATACAAAATTCTACATTTCGCAGTCGTCTGAGGAAGCCACCTCCACCTTACGGAAGACAACAGCAAAATACCCTACCATTGTTGTTTCTGCTGATAAGTAGGATTCTAAGGCTCCACAGGGTAGAAGATTGCGTTCAGGCTATTGACAAAGTTGATCAGGCTTTCAGCTACTCAATTGACAGTTTACATTAGATTTGACGGCTTTTCAGTTAAATTTTATTTATTTATTTGAGCTTACAGTATTTATACAAGATTCGAGCTTATGGTTTCTTTAATAACAAAAATCAAGCCACTATATTAAGGGTGTTTTAATAAATAACTAGTGAGCGTGGAAGCATAAGACAGGATAATACAAAATATTATCGTATTATCCGTCATATATCTCGGTTGCGGAGTGAATCTGCACGTGTTCATTCTGGATTATAAGGAAAATACGTCGCTTAATACTTATACTTATATAAAAGAATAAATTTACCCGCAAAGTAATAATCTAAAAATATGTAGGTATCAACTTATCCCTGCTTTTATTAATCACAGAAAAAATACGATTATTGTTTGATGCAAATAATTTTCACGTTAATTTTAGGTTACCGAGTGCCTTGATCGAATAAATGGGCGAGACAGTAATATATTTCTCGGCTGAGACTGTGATGAAATCAAAAACTCATGTAAGAGTGCCCATATAAAAGCGCTCGGCAGAGCACTCGGCGCTATGTTGATACGTACCGAGTACTCGGCTGAGAGCATTGTCTCGCTTGTTTGCTCAGTACGTGTGATCAAGGCATAAATTATGATAATACTGAGTATGGACGCTTGGTCGGCTAGTTCGGTGTTATTGGTTCTTGTTGGTCATTGGTACCACTACCTCAGGTGAGCCTGTAATGCTGGATTGCCCATGATGCTTTAAAGAAAACGGATAACTTACTATTATTTAGTCCCAAGTTGAGGTTGAAAAGTCAATGCAAAAGAGATAGTATTTTTTTTTCAATCATCGAACATTAAAATAATACCAGTTCAATATGGCTTTCAAAATGGGGCTAGTCTACTGCTCATGCGGGTTTCGACCTAGTGCAAAAAGCATGTTATGAATTGATAAAAAGCAGTCAACTACTGGTCTCTTCATTGACATGTCCAAAGCATTTGATTTCGTAGTGCATGATGTATTGCTTGACAAATTTGAAAGGTACGGCATTCGCGGACGTTGTCTCTCGGTGTTCAAAACATATCTGAATTTATAGATACAAATGCGTAGAAATGAATAGAATAGACAATAGGAATATAATTGTGTCGGAAAGTTCTAAATATAAATTAATCAAATGTGGAGTATCGCAAGGAAGCGTCCTGGGCCCCTTCTTTATTCTTAGTGTGTACCTACGGTTTACCAAAAGTGTCAGAAAAACAAGGTATAATGTTTGCTAACGACATTTCAGTTATTATTAAATCTAATCACTATAGTGACAATACCTAATTAAATATCTTGGTGCAAATAATTTTCATGTTAATTTCAGGAAGACTAACTATGTAAATTTTAATGTAAAAGGCCGCTCAAGCGATGACGTTATTCATTAAGTATCAATATTTAACCATTGAAAAGGCTGACTTGGTTACAATATATTCTGAAAACAATTCTTACCTGATCTTGTGGCTCTATCGCAAACTTCTGCTCCCTGTGTCCACCCACTGATACCACTAGTACACTTAACACAAAACAAAACACTGTCCTTTCCATCAAAGTCCTCAGAAGCAGAAATAGTTCATTAGTCCTCCTACTTTTCACTTTAGATCTTAGAACTGGTGATTGCGTCATCGCTTCCACAGCATGATTGTTTGATATCACCTCGAATTTGTGATCTTTGTTGGTTGTTCGATTCTCCGGGCTTCCCATATTTTCGGTAAGCACTTACAGCACACTTGAGCCATATGTTACTAACGCGGTGTGCTTAAACTTTTCTTGGGAAGCTTCCAGAATGCGATGAAAGACCGCCTGTAACAATAAAGAATATTTACATTAATATATTTTTTTAATATGTAAATTGTGAGTTGAACTCTCGTACGATTAAGATTAAGAGAGGTAGGAAATAGCGTATTTTCCTCTCAACTTTAAGCGACCGTTTGGGGAAGTAACCACCACCTTACCGAAGATCACAATAAAATAATACTAAATTTTGGTAGTGTTGTGTTTCTGTCGGTGAATAAGACGGGGGTAGAGGATTGGATCAGGGTAGGCAAAGCGAGTGATATTTTAAGTATCTCGACGACCTCCGTGGCCGAGTGGTTTGTACGCCGGGTTTCATGGCTGTCGCCGACTCGAGAGGTCCCGGGTTCGAATCCCGGTGGGGGCAGATGTTTGTGTGATGAATACGAGCATTTGTACTCCAGTCATGGATTTTTAATATGTATTTATATAAATATACTTATATATGTACAGTATATGTATTCTATCCGTTACCCTAGCATCCCATAACACAAGCCTTATAGTGCTTACTTTGGGGCTAGGCTAATTGGTGTGAGTGTCGGAAATATTTATTTATTATTTATTTATTTTAAGTATCGCAAGCGTCTATGGGCTATGGTCCGCTTATCATCATACGCTAGATTGCAACCCCTTTTACATAAAAAAAATATAGGTATGCATTTTCATACAAAATTTCCGATTTGAAGAATATACTTTGATAAGAAGGAGGGAACACGTGCGCGAGCCAAGAATTCCACTTGCGAATGGTATGACAGGGAAATGAGTCACCAAATTACTTTGTTCGTGTTAGAATAGAGGCAACAGTGAGTCGGTGACAGCATAGGCTAGCTCAAAATAAGGTTCATAAGGTGTGTCTTATGGTGCGGTTGAAGGATAGATAGATAACACTTTATTGTGCACACCACATTAAATATTACACACAAGGACAAAACTTAAAATAGTGAACAATAGGCGGTCTTATCGCTATATAGCAATTTCTGCCAGACAACCATAGGATGGAGAGATGAAATATAATAAAAGAGGGATTTAATAAAAGCGGTTACACTTGGTAATCAGCCCGAATACGAGTGCCAGTGGATTTCGGGTAAGCGACTTAGTGTAAACGAATGGGATGGTACGGCTGTATTCACCCGAATAGCTGTTATAATATAGAGGTTTTCGTTTAGTTACCCGAGACCTACTTCCAGCCCGTGTTCAAGTGTAAATAGTCCTATTATTTCATAGTCAATAATATTTATTGCTTCATGTTGGTTACATTTAGTTCTTAAATTTAATAACAGCTTGCAATATGAGCCCTGCAAGGGCATTGCTAATTATAATAAAATTATACAAATATTATTTCAAAATTTTGATAAAATTACAATAGGATTTACTATCTCGAGCTCCTCCGTGCTTCGGAAGGCACGTTTAGCCGTTGGTCCCGGCTGCATCTGCAGTCGTTAGCGCCCACCAACCCGCACTGGGCCCGCGTGGTGGGTCCAATCCAATGGCCCAATCTCCCTAACCCATCCATAGGGGAGGCCTGTGCCCCAGCAGTGGGGACATTAATAGGCTGATGATGATGATGATGATGATGATGATGATGATGATGATGATGATGATGATGATACAATAGGATAACAATTTAAAATAATTTATTAGAAAAAATAGATATTGCTTCGGGTAATGTCTTTCGTGCATATGAATACAGGCTAACGACTAAGTTTAATTGAGCCATTAGTTGCGAAACCTTAAAACCCATTGTAAAATATAATATAGAAAAAAAAACCAACAGGAATCCCCTGTGCACCACTACTATCATCTTGAAACCTCTTCAAAGCGCATAAATTTCATGAAAACCTCGCAATGGAACAGTTTACCCACCAACACTGTGAAACCAGTCGAATGATAAATATTGAGAGTTCAAAACTTAACCATTTTCACCAAAGCGAAGCTTTCTCTCTGTCGTCGCTATGGACTTGCTCTATGATAAGTTCCTGGCTAATAAATAAAGTCTGAACGTACAAGATGTGACGTTGCATCGTTTTATGATTCAGGGAAGGAACGCAATATATTTCAGAGCGGTGGCGGAAGAAAAGACGACACTGTATTTTCAACTACAGACTGAAGTGTAAAAATTTATGGACCGTATTGAATAGCTCTTAGGAGAACTGTAAATTGTGTTATGAAATGTTGAAAGATTAGCATTATTATTTAAAATATATTTTTACTAAAGAACTCCATAGGATATATAGGATACTTATTATGAAATATATATGAAAACCTTCGGCGGTCAGAGATAACAAAATGAAATCGTAAGCGATAGCCCCCTGGACAGAGACAAATAACCTAATATTTCTACGATAATAAGTATCCTATGTCTCTATCCAGGGGGCCAATCGCCTAACGGAAATGCTTTGGGAAACGCTAACGCTTACGATTTTATATTGTTATTTCTAGTCGCCTGAGGTTTTCGAATACCTCACGCTCATTTTTTTTAATATTGTTATTACCAATGCAAAAGAAAAAGAAAGACCGTGAGGCATTTGAATACCTCAGGCGGCTAGAAATAACAAAATAAAATCGTAAGCGTTAGCCCCCTGGACAGAGACAAATAACCTAATATTTCTACGATAATAAGTATCCTATGTCTCTATCCAGGGGGCCAATCGCCTAACGGAAATGCTTTGGGAAACGCTAACGCTTACGATTTTATATTGTTATTTCTAGTCGCCTGAGGTTTTCGAATACCTCACGCTCATTTTTTTTAATATTGTTATTACCAATGCAAAAGAAAAAGAAAGACCGTGAGGCATTTGAATACCTCAGGCGGCTAGAAATAACAAAATAAAATCGTAAGCGTTAGCGTTTTCCAAAGCATTTCCGTTAGGCGATTGGCCCCCAGGGGGCCAATCGCCTAAAGGTATTGCTATGACTATCGCTATCGCCATAGCATACCTTTAGGCGATAGGTTTTCAAAGCCTTGCTCTCCTTCTTTTTATTTGCATGGTAAATCAACACTAATATTATAAAGGCGAAAGTTTGTGAGTGTATATGTTGTTTTTGTTACTTCTTCACGTCTAAATGGCTGGCGCGATTTTCATAAAATTTGGTATGCAGTTAGGTGACACCCTGGATTAACACATAGGCTACGTTTTACTGCGGGAAAATATCCCTAATAAATCGCGGGTAACACCGGGGGGCACAGCTAGTACAATATAAAGATAGAATAGCATTAGTTCAAAATAACACTATAAAAGATAATGGGCGAAAGGTATTTGAAAAATTTCGGCGGTCAGAAATAACAAAATAAAATCGCAAGCGATAGCGATAGCCATAGCAAACTCGTTAGGTAAAACAGGCTATCATCATCATCAGCCTATTAATGTCCCCATTGCTGGGGTACAGGCCTTCCCTATGGATGGAATAGGGAGTTTGGGCCATGACTCACCTCGCGGGCCCAATGCGGATTGGTGGGTGCTAACGACTGCAGATGCAGCCGGAACCAACGGCTTAACGTGTCTTCCGAAGCACGGAGGAATTCGAGATAGTAAATTTTTGGTCACCCATCCAATGACCGACCACTGCGAAAGTTGCTTAACTTCAACGATCGCAGCTGTATGCGTACCAAATTTCATTCAAATCCCATTAGTACTTTTTGCGTGATTAAGTAACAAACAAAGCTAAGGAGCTCGATGCCGCAAGTGATTAACACGTTCGGCTGCGATCGTTAAAGTTAAGCAACTTTCGCAGTGGTCGGTCGTTGGATGGGTGACCAAAAATATACTATCTCAAGCTCCTCCGTGCTTCGGAAGGCCCTTGAGATAGATTCGGAAGGCTCTTCGTCGAGCTTGCTTTTAGTATCTCATCGACTTTAATTTTTTACTGCTTCATTCATAACAATTTCGCAGTATTATCGATGTATCTTCTATCGATCCCTTAACACTTCCCGATCAAGCGATCAGCACACTTCCTTGTTTCTCTTATGGCATAAGAAAAGGAGGGAAGCGTTTACATCACGCAATGTTCATTGTTCTAATCTTGGAACTAGCGACCAAAAAGGCAATTTCTAGTTTTTGTTAGCGTTTCACATTTCACACGTTGTCGTTTGTAGATTGGAATGCTTTTTTGTTTAGCTCTTACGTCTGTGAGTTATTTCAATCTCAATAGGATTTTTATTGAAGAGCTCGAAGGCGCATGTGATTGGCACGTTCGGTCCGCGATCGTGAAGGTTAAGCAACTTTCGAAATGGTCGGTCATTGGATGGGTGGACGAAAATATTATTATCTCGAGCTCCTTCGTGCTTCGGAAGGCACGTTAAGCTGTTGGTCCCGGCTGTATTTGCAGTTGTTAGCACTCACTAATCTGTACTCGGCTGGAGTGGTCTATTCAATCCAATCTTCGACACACGCAATTTTTTGTTACTATTATTATCATACAGCAGACCCGTCTTTCCCAATGGGCACTTTGGGCAAGTGCCCAGGACCCCGCGATCGATAGGGGCCTCCTCAGATCAAATACAAAGTCCCTAGTTCCTGTTAAATCACCAAACGGAAGTCATATGGGCCCCATTATCCTAATATGCCCAAGGCCTCCAAGACGTCAACGACGGCACTGTCATACAGTGTCTTAAAGTATCATTATCATCAGCCTATTAAAGTCCCCACTGCTGGGGCACAGGCCTTCCCTATGGATGGAATAGGGTGATTGGGCTATGACCCACCACGCGGGCCCAGTGCGGTTTGGTGGGTGCTAACGGCTGCAGATGCAGCCTGGACCAACAGCTTAACGTACCTTCCGAAGCACGGAGGAGCTCGAGATAGTAAATCTTTAGTTACCCATCCGATGACCGACCACTGCGAAAGTTGCTTAACTTCAACGATCGCAGCCGAACGCGCTAATCACTTGCGCCATCAAGCTCCTCATCTCAAGTCTTAAAGTACAGGTCATGATAAAATAAAAGAACACCATCCTTTTTTCTTTATTCAGTTTCTACAAAACTAAGTTACTAAGCGAAATCTCATAGAAAT